AGCAAAATATGTATTATTTTCTTTTTGTAAAGCAATGAAAGATGTATGCATTTTAATCATGATTGATAACACTACTGCTGTATCATATATAGACTCCTTAGGTGGCAAAAAACCAAGGTTTAAATAATGTGACAAGAGATATTTTACTTTTTTGTATAGAAAGAAATATATGTTTAAAATCTAGTCATATTGCTGGTTATAAGATATAGAAGCAGACGAACAAAGTAGACTCTTGCATGAAAACACAGAGTGGGAGTTAAATCAAGATATTTTTGATAGATTAAAAAATTTTTGGGGTTTGCCAACTGTGGACTTATTTGCATCTAGAGTAAATGCAAAAATTGATTTTTATTATGCATATAAACCAGATCCGTATGCGTCTGGAATTAATGCTTTTTCCTTTCTATGGAACGCGTTTCCTCCATTTTGTTTGATAGGTAGTGTGCTTTCAAAAATTGAAAGAGATCAGGCTACAGGCATATTAATAGTACCCTGGTGGCATACACAATATTGGTTTACTAAATTAATCAGATTACTTATTGATTTTCCTTTTATTTTGCCCAGTGTAGAAGTTATCCTAACACATCCAACGAAGAAAGTAATGGAATTACCAAAAATGAAGCTATTAGCGGTAGTGGTTTCAGGGAAGAGTACTCTACAGAGAGATTTTCAGATGAAGCTACGCACATCTTGCTATCATCATGGAGAGTTTCCAATAGGAAACAATACACAAGTCGCATCAAAAGATGGTTATGGTATTCTGCTAAAAAATCAGTGGATCCCTTTTCGCCCTCTGTAGAGGATGTTATTGAGTTTTTAACATTTTTATTTAATAAAGGACTCGGCTACAGTTCAATTAATTCGACAAGAAGTGCATTGTCAAGTTTAATTTTTATAAATGGAAAACCAATCGGAACAGTACCAATTATAACTCGATTTGTTACAGGAGTGTTTAACTTGCGTCCGGCTTTACCAAGAAATAGGTTTACTTGGGACTGCAACATTGTTTTATTATATTTGAAAACTTTATCTCCTGTGAGAAAATTAAGTCTCAAGTTGTTAACTTTTAAACTTCTGACATTGTTAGTTATTCTTTCTGGGCAAAAAATTCAGACCTTTCATTTCTTAAACATCAAGAATATTGATTGTACAACAGATAGGATTAAAATTAAAATTGGAGAATTGATAAAACAGTCACGACCTGGGTTTCACCAAAGTGAATTATGTTTTAAGGGATTTGCTCCTGATAGAAGATTGTGTCTTCCTACTGTTTACCTGGAGTATATTAAACGAACTGCTAATTTACGAGGCTCTGAATGCCATCTTTTTATTAGTTATATTAAACCTTATAAAACAGCATCTATTACTCTAAACCTATTATGGATGAAGGAAATTTTGCAGATACAATTCTGAATAATGCTATATGTTAGATTGAACTATCATCTAACATAAATAGACTTATTGTTTTAATCAAAAAG